CCTATTGACAAATGTTTAGGTTGTTCCTAATTGTTTGCATTTACACACCATTATGCTATTAGATATCTTTGGGCATATTCCTAGCATGTGTATACATGATTTGCTTTAGGATAAGTAAGGAGTTGTGGTACTATAGTCTCCCTTTGTCCAGTTATACATTCTGTGACTTCAGTCACAGTCAACCATGGTCAAAAAATAGTGCACGGAAATGAAATAAAGAATTCATAAGTTGTGTGTGTGTGTGTGTATTTGGGGTGCTGGGAATCAAACCCAGAACCTTGTGCATGATAGGCAAACACTTCCATTGAGCAACTGCTAGATCTGTAAGTTTTAAATCACACCCTGTTCTGAGTAACATAAGGAAATCCCATGCTGTCTTGCTCACTTCACCCGGGTATGATGTGAATCATTTCCTTTATTCAGTGTATCCAGACTACATGTTAGTTACCTGTTAGTCACTTTGTAGCTCTCTCAGTTATCAAATTCAATGTCATGGTAACCACACTGCTTGAGATCAAGCAATGCTCAGTAATGGCTCTGACTTGAGCTGGGTGCCAGTGGCTCACACCTGTAATCCCAGCTGCACAGGAGGCAGAGATCAGGAGGATCATGGTTTGAAGCCAGCCCAGGCAAAATGAGACCCTATCTCAAAAACAACAACAAAAAAAATCACAAAAAAAGACTGGTAGAGTGGCTCAAGTTGTAGGCCCTGAGCTCAAACCCCAGTACTGTAAAATTAATTAATTAATTAAAAATAAAAAATAATGGCCCTGACTGCAATTTTATTACAGGATATTGTTATAATTATTCTATTTTTAATTTTCTCTCATTAATCTCTTGCTGTGCTTAACTTATAAAATTAACTTTACCATAGGTATGTATGTATAGGAAAAATACAGTATGTATGGGTTGTACTAGCCACAATTTTGGGCCGTCTACTGGGGGTCTTAGATTATATTTTCCGTGGATACCCAGGAACTGTTTTATTTCTGTTTTTAGGATGGATGATGAGATATGGGCACTGGGCACTTAAAATGTTACCAGAGACAGACGAAATTTCCCTCCTAGCATTAGGCCCTGGGTTCAAACCCTAGTATTTAAAAGAAAAAAAAAAAATCCCTCCAAAATGGCAAGAATCACTTAGCTCCCAAAAGCAGTGTATGAGAATTCTTATTTCCTCACACCCTTGATAATATGTTCTCAAAAGTCCTAAAGCTGTATTTGTTCACTGAAATTCTATTAGTCACACTTTTCACTAATTTGTAGTAAATACCATCCAATGAGGTTTGAAGATTCTTGTAATTAACCCTGGTGAAGGTGGCAGAGCGTTCATTTTAGTCACCAGTGCTCCTCCTCTGGCCTTTGGGTCGAATTTATGAGCAGCGCTTTGCACTTACAGAGTCACTGTCTAACACAGGCCTTTGCTTCAAGAAGAGAAATGCGCTTGGCCCACATCCTATGCATAGGCTAGAGACTGAGGGCTCAAGTAAGGAAAGATTTTACAAGAAGGTCAAGTGTGTACATTTCTGCCAATGTGTTTGGGTTCTGCATTTCTGTGGCTCCTTCTTCCCTGCTTTCTGAAGTTTGGAATGTGTCTTCATCCCTAAGCTGGTGAGTTTTTCACAGTCAAAAGAACAATTAAAATCACTTCATTAAGTATAAAAAGAACTTGAGACTAAAATGAACACTCTTCCAGCTTTGCTAGTTAATTAATTCATTCATTAATTAATTGGTGGCTCATGCCTATAATCCTAGCTACTCAGGAGGCAGAGATCAGGAGGATAGTGGGTTCAAAACCGATACTTCGAGAGACCCTATCTTGAAAATATCCAATGCCTCAGTGTGCTGAAAAACAAAGTACTCAGACACCAGTTTGATGCTGAGTGACCCGCGGGCTGTCTCCAGAGGAGAGCAGCCCAGAATGTTGGTTGCTGTCATCTTTTAGTGAGCAAATCATTGGACTGTAACATCTGTTTGCTATTCAGCAGGGCAGAAAGTCAAGTTCAGTAACAAAGGGCTTTTCAGAAGTAAATAAAGCAAAGATAGTTTGTAAGTACAGTACATGTAGTTTCTTGAGAAACTTTCTATGGCATTTACTGGTAGGCCACAGAGGAATAAAAGTTCAGAGCCTTTTAGGACATTGTGTGCAATGTCCCAAGGACAAGGAACTTGGCTGACTTTCAGCTTTTCCTGTGAACCTTCTTCCCCTGAGGCCTACAGGTCCTAAACATATCACAACAATCCAATGCAAAGAAAGGGCTGGTAGGGGGCTCAAGTGGTAGAGCGCCTGCCTAGCAAGCATAAGGCCCTTAGTTCAAACCTCAGTAACATCAAAAAACAGAAAAAAAAAGAGAAGAATCATCAAATCTCAATGCATTAAGCTAGCACTTACTGCATACCCAGGGCTTTCCATTTTTATTCAGTCTTTATGTAAGGGGACAAATGTGAGGGGAAATAAAATGGCAGAAATGTCCCTGGGACCAAAGGACAGAAATAACCCTGGGGATATAAGGGACAGATGGCAGAAGTAACTTTGTTTTAGATAAAGGAGACAGGAAGGGATCCTTAAAAGCAGAACAGTTAGGGAGAAGTAAGAAACCAGCTGCACGTAGGTGCAGAGGGGTGGCAGTTTTTCTTCCTAGATAAGGGAGACAAGATAAAACTTTCCAAAAGGTAGACATCTAAAAGGATAAAATATAGACCCCCTAAAAGGACAGTAATACAGAAAACTTTCCCAAGATAAACAAAAAAGGAGTCTCATCAGATCATGAGTGGTGGTAAAATGTAAGTGATAAGCCTCAAGGACGGGATGGACTAAGGAGACCCTCTTAGACTGTCCAGTCTGATAAAGATGGAGGGCAATTAGATGGCTGGTCTTGACCAAGTCAATTAGAGAGTCAATTTAACTGTGTTAAAGGTAGAATGGATTCTTGTATAATCTCATGAATTTTAGTCATCCTTTGGCTGAGCTCTTTCACTAAGTCCCACCATTAGGGTGCTTTGCTATCCTTTCAATAAACTTTGTGCTTGCTTTACTCTTAACTCCTGGTCTGTGGCTTGAACTTACTTTAACTCCTAACTGCTTGTCTGGTGTCTTCAATCATCGACTGTACCAGGACATGAACCCAGGGAACAACAATCTAGCCCGGTATCATTTACAACTCTTGTTCCTGTTCTTGTGCTATTATCATTGTACAAAATAGAAAACTGAGGTTCAAAGGTTTGATGACTTGCCTAAAGTGAAATTGTGATGGACATTAGGATTATGGGGCTCTTTTAAAGTTTCAAGGATTTATTTTAGTGTAGCAGGATAAAGTGGGGAGAAATTGGGGGAGGAAAGGAGAAGTATCTCCAGTTCCCCATGGGAAATGGGAGAAAGGCTGAAAATGGCAGCTCTTGTTTGCAGTCTTTATGCTTTCTGACCTGGGGGAATATACCGTGATTCTTAGACAATGGTTTTGCTAGATTACAGAATTAAGATGACCAAGAAGTAAAGCTGAAAATCACTGAGAGCAGTGGCCTTCGTCCATCACTCTCCCTTCTTTTGGATGCTAAGTGAGCTGTGAGCTCCCTAAACCAGTAATTTAGTCTGAGGATAGAAGGGAATTCCTTGGCCAGAAAGGAATGCCCTCAATGTTACACCAGTGTCTCCTTGTTTTGAGTAACCCTAGCTCCCTTATCTCCAGTTTTTGGGAAATAACAGGCTCCCCTAAACCCACTGTCTTCATGCTTGGGGACTTAGCAAAATGATTAGGGGTTGTTAGGCAATGTGACATGTGTCTAGGTAAGGGATTCAGCTGGAATCCCCCAGTTCAAAAGGTACAAATATACCCAGGATGAATACCACCATTTTTCTTCCCCCTTTCTGTTTTCTATTTCTCCCTACTTTATTCTGCTTTGATAAATAAATCCTTGCTAAACTTTGTGAGTTTGTGTGTGTGAAATTCCTTGAAATGCTTTTCATTGTGAATTTCAAGTTCCTGTGACTTGTGTGGAAATTGGGAAGCTGAGTTGAGGACTCCCTCTCCTCTTCCTTATGGGGAAATCCTCTTCACCACTTTCTTTCTCTAGTGACACAACTATCATGGTTTTCCCAAGACTGTCTCAGGTTCCTTTTTTTCAGGAGTGCGGAGGGTGGTGGGGTAGAAACTGAGGTTTGAACTCAGGGCTTCATGCTTGCAAAGCAAGCAGTCTACCACTTGAGCCACGCCTCCAGTCCATTTTGCTCTGGTTATTTTGGACAAGGGCTCTCTGGAATGATTTGCCCCAGCTGGTCTTGAACTGTGATTCTCCCAATCTCAGTCTCCCAAGTAGCTAGAATTACAGACATGAGCTGCCAGCAGGCTGAGTTTTAAACCCCAAAGTCCTGCATCTCTGCAACTAGGTTGGTTATTCTAGGATGGAATCAAGATTACTGGAGAAGCCAGTGGTCTTGGGCAGAAGAGATGCCTCCCCCTCGAGTTAAAAGGACAGGATAGGGCTGGGGGTGTGGGTCAAGTGGTGGAGCGCCTGGCTAGCAAGTGTGTGAGGACCTGAGTTCAAACCCCCACAAAAACCCAAAACCAAAACCAAAAAGAATCAGGTTCAGTGTTTTGTGTAATTTTGGAATCATTCGACAAGAACGAGCCATGTGCGAATGCCTATGTCAAGGGTAGGCTCAACGGATTTTTTTTTTCCAGTCTCATTCTTTCCCTAACTTTTTGCTGCTTGTCTCCTCTCTTCTAATATCCTCCTTCTGTTCTTGACGTTTTCTCGCGTCCCACGTACTCACTGACTACCATCCACCACTAGGGGGCAGACGAGAACAAACCAACATATGTGCCCCTCTAGCTTTCCCAGGCTCTCTCTATGGCGCCTGCTGGACGAGCCCCCTCGGGGGTGTGGGGGGGGGGAGGTGTGTCTGGGGGAAAGGGGAGGGGCGGGGATCCCGTCACGTGATCACGGCCCAGGGCCCGCGCAGGCGCAGTAGCCTTACCATCGTCGCCGGCTGTGCTCCACGCGCAGCCTTGCCGTGCCGGCAGCTGAGGCTACGGCTCCGCGGTGCTGCCACTTTCCTTTTTGGCGCTGCGGGCCGCAGGCCAGGGCCATGTCCCGAAAGCAGACGACGAGGAGCCGGCCGGGCAGCGGTAGCCGTAAAGCTGAGACTGAGCGTAAGCGGGACGAGCGGGCGGCGCGCCGGGCCTTGGCCAAGGAGCGGCGGAACCGACCGGAGCCCGGCGGCAGCAGCAGCGGCGGCGGCGGCGAGGAGGAGTTCGTTAGCTTCGCCAACCAGCTGCAGGCCCTGGGGCTGAAGCTGCGGGAGGTGCCGGGGGACGGGTGAGGCGGGCCGGGAGCGCGAAGAGGCGGCGCCGGGGACGCTCAGGGCCGGGCCGCCGCCCCCTTGTCTCTCCCCTCCTCCGGGTGGCCCGAGTCTCCCGCCAGCCGGCCGCGGGGTCACACCCCGTTTCTCTCCCCGGGCGCGAGCAACGACCCTAGGGTCCCCAACCAAGGCAGACACCGCGAGGGAAATAGGAAATGGGTCTTGAGAGTGGACTCCGGGAAGGCTAGTAGCAGAGGTGACATTTTAGCCGAGACCTGCAGGAATGAGGTAGAGCCGTCACAATGACCATCAGAGATACTAGGAAGAGGCAGTAAGCCCCGCCTGGGGTAATGCTGTGCCCCCCTGCGAGGCCCTTGCTGGTGACCGTGGTCTCTTTGTCCACTTGGGAAATCGGGTCTGTGAGCGTCTGATAACCTGCCCACCAGAAGGCAGCTTTCCCAACGCCTTGGTCTTTCCTCTGTCTGCAAAAGTGCTTGTCCAAGCCTGCGTGGGGGTTTGCATTGCAATCCATGTCCCGCTTTTTTTTTTTTTTTTTTTAAGGGAACAGGGAATAAGTTAAAGGGCTAGAGGAAGGGAAATAAAAGTAACTCCAGGAAAGAGAATGTAGATCGATGGGCATGGTTGGAAGAAGGGAAGGAGAGCAGTTATCACAATTGCAGGGACAGGTTAAAAGGGTCTGGTTGCCAGGTGTGTCACTGCAGGAGCCAGTATTAATGATAGCCGGTGCCAGTTTTTTATTGTTTTGTTTTTTTGGTGATACTGGTGTTTGAATTCGGGGCCTTGTACATTCTAGACATGCGGTCTGCCACTTGAACCATGTTTCCAGCCCCTGACTCTTTTCCCTCCCTTCATTTGCTTGGTCAGTTTGAGGAGAGGGAAGAATAAAATGGAGCTGAAGACCATGCAGAATTTGCCTTACTTATAAATGATGGAAGAAGGCATTTGCTTGATTTCACATTACCTTGCAGCTTTTGATCAAGACTCAACACACTGGCTCTAATTTGTCTTTCCCACCTGTCCTTCAGTGCTTCAGGCAAATTGGATTTCCCTCTGTTCATTGAAACACCTTCCTTACTTGGTGTTTTTGCTTTAGTTGTAATGAGGACTTGTTTGCGTTTATCCACCACCTAATACAGTTACAGAGAAGGCATTCAGTACATTTTTTGGTGAATGAATGATAAATTTATTGAGGGAGTACAGAACATTGATATGTAAACCAAAATACCAGTTGAATACAGTGGAATTGGGTGGGGCCATTCCATGCAAAAAATTTGATTGTGTGTGATTGTCATTCTGGACATGGTCTTCTCCATGTCAGGATGCCCTGGAACAAGTACTAGACAGAAAGTTGCTCTTTTGTTGTTGTTGTTCGTTTATTCACATGTGCATACATTGGGTCATTTCTCCACCCTGCCCCTGTCCCCCACCCTTCCCCTCCCTTCCTTAGTTTCAGGCAGGTCCTGTTCTGCCAGAAGGTTGCTCTTGATTGGCCATCAGAGCACAGGGAGTTGTTAAACCTTGGGGAACTCTCATAAGGTTATGGGAAACTTTGGGGGTACTACCTCTCTCCCCTTCTCTGCCAAAGTGAGCATACTTCTCCAGGTAAATCATCCCACATTGCTTGAATAAGGTGTTGGGAATACATTGATGACTAAGATGTGTAAGGGGTTTAGGGCCTATAAGGGGGAGACCATACTGGATCTCAAGTATTGATCTTAGGACCTCTTTACCTTCTTAAAAAGTACATTCGTACATGTATGAAAGGGTCATGATGAAACCCATTAAAATGTGCCCCAGCTTAATTAGAATGTTGGAAAAAAAATACTGAGGAACCTAAGATCCTTTTTTATATGGGTCATAACTATCAGTATTTACTGTATTAGAAAGGAAAATAAAAATTTAAAACACAGGACTACACAAACGCATTCTGTTAGCTGCCCATTCTTGATGTATGAGTGATAACCTCACATCAGATAGCTTCTGGAAAACACCATACATTGCTGAGACAATGAGAGTGAAGGCAGTAAATAACTTTTTTTGTGTGTGTGCTACTGGGGTTTTTGAACTCAGGACCTCACACTTGGTAGGCAAGTGTTAATACAGCTTGCACAGCGCCCCTGTCTCTTTCTTGCTTTTAGCTGATTTCAGGTAGAGTTGCTTACATGGCTGGCTTGAAGACCATAGTCCTTCTACTTACACCTCTCATACATAGTTTGGATGACAGGCTAGTATTACCATACCCAGCTTATTTGTTGAGATAGAGTTTGAGGCTAGCCTCAAACTGTGATCTTCCCAGTCTCCACCTCCTAATTAGCTGGGATTACTGCATCAAGCCTGGTAAATAACACTTTAGTTTTGAACTTATGGATACTGTGTAAGGTCTGAGAAGACCTTCCTACCTCTGCAATCTCTTGGGCCCCACTTTGAAAACAGATGATATAAAAAATATAGTTTGTATATTCTTAATAACTAACTGTAATGGTATTGTTGAGAAGGGTGTGGTTAATACTCCTTGAAGTGGTCAGGAAGGCCACTTCAATCAGCAAATATTCATTGAATACACTGCTAGATCCCTCTCAGAGGATGCCGTGTTCTGCTGTGGTCATAAAGGACCAATAGGAGTATGCCAAGAGAACATTCCGGGTAGAGTAATGTATGCAAAGGCTTGTACATCATTTTTGAAAGACGTACAAGTCGCACAGGATGACAGAAGTATAGGATAGCAGGAGTAGAAGAAATAAGGGCAGCGAGGGTACTGGAGTCAGCTCCAGTGCTCATGTGTCACTTCTAACAGGGCCCCATTCTTTGGACAGCTCTAATAAACTGCTAACGATAGTTCCTCTTGTGTGGGCTCTGTGAAGCTAACGCACTCTGGTAACAAACTTCCCATGGGTGTCATGAGGCGGACTGCTTTGTCCTTTTTAAATTTCTGGCTTTTTCCTCAGTATGGTGGATGGTGTCTCTCATGTATGTGCTGGGTGGGATGTGTGAGTTCTTTTATGTATTAATATTTATTGAGTAGTCTTAGGGTAACACATAATGATGTTATGGTACTGTAAAAAAAAAAAGTTCACAGTCTCCCCTTTTCTCTCTTTCCATTCTGGTCTGACCACAGTCTGAATAACCTCAGATGGCATCTTGCTATGCACGTATTCACTGGTGGCAGCATGGTACTTGTAGCATTCTGTATTTGGTTGTTTTTCTGAACTCAAATGCAACACGTAACATATATCCCTAAAGTGCAGTGGTTCTCAAGCAGGGATGATCTGCCTCCCAGAGGGTTATTGGGCAATGTCTGGAGACATTGTTGGTTGTCTCACCTCATGGAAAAGGAGGTGGTACTGTGCTACTGGGTTGAGGCCAAGGGGGCTCCTAAATATCCTGCAGCACATAGGACAGCCCTCCCAACAAAGAATCACCCCCAAATGTCCATAGCATGTAGGTTGAGGAGCTCTGCTGTTGTGCAGTGATGAGAACGTGCCAGGAAACAGCTGGATCTCCTGGAGGTCCTTAGGGCCATGTGCGTGTTCTCACAAGCATCTCCAGTGCTCTTGTTGGGTTCCCGAGGGGCACCTGGGTTGCTGTAGTGTTTGTTTCCTATGTTGCTACCTTGTAACCCCTGTCAGAAAAGCAAAAAAGATAAATGACTTCAGTTTATCTTCACTCATTTTCAGTGGCTCAAATAAAGTTTGGTAAATGAGAAGTATATTAAAATAAGTTTACCAATTATTCCTTACTCCTTATTCTACAGTCTAGCAGTAGCTACATCTAACATTTTGGTATTGACATTGGAAAGTGCGGGCTAGAACCAGGTTTCCTGGGTTTGAATCCTGAGTCTACCACCTGTTAGTTTTGTGACCTTGGGCAAGTCACCCCTGAGGAATAACACTAACTGTCCCATAGCGCTGTGAGGACATTTAGTGCAGGTGGAGTGTTCACAACAGTCTTCAGCACGTTGTTAGAGCTGTTTAGAGGGTTTCGGTGTTTTTCTGCAGGATGTATTGTGTGCATAGTGTACAGATGATCATGGTTGAGCTCAGGCAACATAGATGGTTTTATACCTACTGGTTTATGTGGAGAACATTTGCTCGTGTTGCTAAAAGTTCTTGGTTCTATTTTATTTTGTTAGGCAAAAAAAGCTAAGTTACGCTGTTTTAGAATAGACTAATGGCAGATGCTAAAAGTTTAAGGAAAGTTTGAGAGAAAAGCTTGAAATTGAAAACATTTTATCCATTAGCCCACTTTGTCCTGTGGTTGAGAAAAGACTACCACTGTTAGATTTTAGCAAGAGACACCTCAGTCTAATAATGTATAGAACTCTGTATTCCAATTCCTTCTAGAATCCTGTCCCAGTTAGGCACACAGCATCTTGGTTTCTAATTTGTAGAATCTCCCACATTTAAATTCTCCCCTCCCTCTGTCCTCTTCAAGTATCAATTCTTATACATTAGAAGACATTCTTGCTTCTCTATAACTTTCTATTGAAAAACTTCCTTTTCTGTGTTAGAAAATAAAACCTTTTTGTCCTACACAGTTTGAACTGAAATTGTTCTAAAAGTGATGAATTTGTATTTTTTAATTAGAGTATCATAATTTTTCATTTGGAAAAGTTAACAGACTGATGTGAAACTGGGCATTAGAGTGGTTTGTTTCCTTCATTTTAAGGGAACCAGATTACATTTGTCTCATTTTAGATTCTGTGTATCTTGGCCTCTGTGTTTGTGATACAATACAGAATTTTAGCAGCCTGTTTGGTGGTGGTGGTACTGGGGTTTGAACTCTGGGCCTTGCACTTTTGAGGTATTTGAAAGAAAATGTCATTACTAGCATTTTAACTTAAGAAAAACAAAATACAGTGTTTAAACAATAATATTGCATCTTTCTATCACACAACTGTTGGTCATCATGTTCTTCCTTCCTATGGGTTTCTCCACTCAAACAGAGTGCTTAGGTCAACTTGTATTGGGAGCTGAACACATTGCTATTTTTTGAGTTCCCTTTGTTAAATGAGTGGTTCTGTAGCTGGGCAGTTGTAGGGAAGCTTGGTTCAGAAAGAGGCTGTAGATCTGACATCGTTTCGGCAGGGGTCTGGGAATCACAGCCCTTAGACCAGGAATGACCTTTCAGATCTGCACCCTGTGTTCAGGCATGAGAAGGTCATCAGCTTCACTTGAAGCAGCTGAGGCCAGAGGAACACAATGGTATCTCGAGCCAGCCACCTGTGAGTAGGAAGAGAGTGCTTGTTTATTGCTGCTGCTCCACAAGGTAATGTGGTATTTCCTAAGGTGCTCTCCTGGTGTTTGGAACTGTTAAGAGTTGAGGTTTTAACTTTTCTGAGCATGAAAGATTTCCATGGATGGTCTGGCAGAAAGGATCATTGTTTTAGATGAGCTAAGCTTATTTTTGAAATATCTTGACCACTGTTTTTGTTTTGACAGTAACTGCTTATTTAGAGCTCTTGGTGACCAACTGGAGGGACACTCACGAAATCATCTCAAGCACCGACAGGAGACAGTGGACTACATGATAAAGCAGCGGGAAGATTTTGAACCCTTTGTAGAAGATGATGTCCCCTTCGACAAGCATGGTAGGTTCTCCGTGGGACACTGGATCCTTCAGGAGTAATGCATTGGGTAATAAGTCCTTCAGCATTCTCCTCCCTCCCTTCCTTCCTCTGAGCCAAGGGTTCCGTTGTATAAATTACGCCATTCATTATTTAGCAAGTACTTACTTGCATATTCTGTAATAAGCCATGCACTAGGCAGTTGAGACTCAGTAGATTTAGATGTGACCTAATAAAAGTGATGGCATTGTTGACTGAGTGGTAAAGTGCTTGCCTACCATGTGTGTGCAAAGTTCTGGTCTGATTCCCAAGTATCACCAAAACGAAAAACAGACAAAAAGAAAAAAAGTGTCGATTGACCTGAAAAGCTGTTCATAACTTCTTTATCAGTGGGGTGGGAAAAACAAGCTATAAAATAATGTATACATATTTATTCCATTTTTGGAAGGTGTACACACAGAGTAGAAAAGGTCTGGAAGGATGCTAACATTTTTATGGTTGTTATTTCTTGCTCTCTCTAAATTTCTGTGAAAAGGAAACGATAAAAGCATCTCTCTGTCAAAGGAATTTTTGTGAAGGTTAAATAACAAAATAAGCTCTTAATAAGTTAGCTGTCTGGGATGATGGGACTAACTACCAACAATTTAAATTATCTTCCGTGAATGTTTTGATTTTTAAATGATTGCATATTAAATAATCAGAAAAATCAATAAAGTCATTTTCACCAAAAAATGTTATTTCTCACCAAAAATCCAAACACAACCCATTTTCTTTGAAGCAAGTCAATTATTTTAACTAGTAACTATTTGATAGGTTCAAATCTGTTAGAAAATACATATGCGCTTTTAAACTTTAATTTCAGCAGATATTTACTGAGGATCTACTGTGCCAGGTGCTGATATGTATGCTTTACAAATAGCATTTCATCACAGTGATCATGGCTGTCTTGATCAGGAAAGATATAGATTGTGGCTGTGTTTAATAACTGATCTAGACGGTGTGTCAAGAATGGGCAGGGAGAAAGACTAGGAGTGGAAGCTAGTTAGGAGGGTTTCCATGGAGGCCCAATCCAAGGTGCAGTTTGGCAGGGTAATTGGCAGGACTCATGGGAGGTGAGTGGAATGGGAGAAGATAAGGGTGATTCTGGAGTTTCTACTTGGAGAAAAACTCTGTAGCTGCAGGAAGAGGATGTTTGGGAGGGAAGCTATCAGGGACTCCAATACCATTTTCATTCCTTAGTAGGAAAGGGTCCATTTATTAGACACAGACACACAGCAGCAAAACTTCCAGTGGGTTGTTTATGCCTGTCACTGAGGTCTGGTGGTCCTTCTTCCTGGGATCACTAAGTCTGGCAGGTAGACACAGTTTATTAGAGTCAGCATTTTACAAATTAAATATGTGTATTTGGAGCAGGTTTTATAGTTTAGAAATGTATAAAATGGATCACATTACTGAGCATGGTTGCAATCCCAGCACTCAGGAGGCTGAAACAGGAAGATGATGAATTTGAACCCAGCCTGGACTACAGAGCAATTTCAAGGCTAGCCTGAGTTGCATAAGAACCTGTCTCCCAAAACAAAAACAAACAAAAGAATTGTGCCATTATTCCAATGAAAATATCATTGGCTGAAATGAGTTTTTGGTTTGTGATGTAAAATTTCATTTTGAACATCTTCCGGTCAGTCATGTAGTAAGATCTGGAGCATGTCAGGACAGGGAACTCAAGCCTTTAGTTGCCAATGTGATGGTCATTTTAGATGTACAGTGGAAAGGTATTTTCCTAAAACATCCCTGTGTGTCGCTGATGGTTGGTGTTACATGAGAATCTGAGTATCAAGGGAGGGAGAAAGGGCTATGACCCAGAGCAGAAACGAAAGGAATCAAGTCTGCACATTATCCTTGCCTGGTGGAAAGGCAGACTTGTTACATGCGTCCCCTCTTACCACAGTTACCTGTTTCCATTGTCTGGCTGCTTTGTTTAGACAGAGATTGTGTCTTTGTTTCCAACTGTGGCAACACCTAGCATCTGGTAGGCGTTCATATACTTGGGTGAATAAGGGAATAGCTCACTTAACTAATGAGGACCTGGTTCCCCTTGCATTTGGCTGTATCTTTAGTATTATTCCTTTCCTGTACACTGTGGATTCATAGAATTAGCAACATCTTTTCCCAACTGTACAAATATCCAGATGAGAAGCCTGAGCATTCTTTATGCCTCATCTCACTGCTTCCTTTTACCTATTCATTGTGTTGTCACTTGTGCCTCAGTAATTTTCCTGTTACTGATGCCACTTCATCAAATCAAACCTCAGTAGCCATTTTCTCAGATATTCTCCGTGCTCTCTTCAGTCTGTTCCTCATTGTAGCCAGGGTGGTAAGCTAAATGCATTCTCCCCTCATCTGTTGCCATTTTCTCCACATTTCCCCTCCATCTTAGCATTCTAAGTTCCTGCCAAACTATACAGTGCTTAGTCTCTCTTGCCTGGGCTTGGAACATCATCCATTGTTCCTCTGCTAACTCCTGCTTGTCCTTGGAATGTCAGCTTAGTTGTCTCAGCTGGGAAGCTTATTTTCCACTACCATACTGGCCTACCTAGAGTTTACTGAACTTCAGGATGTGAGCATTCCTTCATTCTGACACCCTCTGTAAGTTTGGGGTTCCCTAGAACTCACTAAAACTATCCTACTAATAGCTGTGGTTTTCTAGGGAAGGAACCAGATCAAAATTAGCCAAAGGGAGAGATGCGTATGTCAGTCAGAAGGTTTCAAACACAAACCTTCCTTTGTCCCCGGGAAGTATTATCCTCTTGGCATTCATAGGTGATAAAACACATTATATTGTCACCTACCTAGAGAAGCTTACTCCAGAGTTTTGATTTTTTATGTTTTTTGGTGCCAGGGGTTGAAACCAGGGCCTTACGCATGCTAGACAGGCGCTTTACCACTGAGCTACACCCCAGCCTATTGCATAATTTTTTTGTTTATTGATTTTTCTTGTCTAATGGTGGAGGATCACATGTCTAATATTGTGGGTTGGTGTCAGGTGTGGTCCAGGGGCCAATCTCCTTTGGAAATTTCAGATGTTTGAGCATTACCTGGAAGGAGCCTGGGATGAAGACCAGACCTGTCTTGGGGAAAGGCTGTATTCTGCTGTATGCCCTCTCCTGAGGCACTTAAGCACCAGCAGTGCCTGTGTTCTGGTTGTAAACTTCTTGAGGGCAAACTGATAGAATGGCCAAGAGCCAGGGCTTTGGAGTTAGGCATACAGGTTCTGTGACCTTGGGCAGTCATTAACTGTACCATATCTCAGTTAACTCATCTGTCAAGTGGCATGCGCACTAGTCCTTCAAGAGGGTTGTTTTGAGGATTTAAATGATAAAATGCTACTTAAGGTATCACTGCAGAAGCATGGAGAGAGTGTAAATACTTTTGTCTTGGGGGGGGTGGGCTTACAAAATAACTTCTGTGTTGTTGTAAATTACCTTTTCTGTATACCTTGTATGGGGACACTTTCTCAGCACCATTGGCGTCTGCATTGCTTAGAAGGCAGGAAAGTGGATTCCTGTATAAAATAGCTGTGTTGCTGGAGGAGTGACTCTAGTGGTAGAATGCCTGCCTAACAAGTGTCAGGTCCTGAGTTCAAACCCCAGTACTACCAAAAAAAAAAAAAAAAAGATACTGTGTAAATAGTTACCATGCTACCAGTTCATATACCTCAGTTATTTCAGCCACTAAATGAAAAAAAAAAAAAAAAGGCGCACACACACACACACATTGTCATCTAATAAAACAGCTGTGTTGGCAGTTACTCTGAAAGTTTTTTGAAGTATTTTTTTAACCTTGAAGTGCCCACCTTATTGATATATTGGCTCTAATTGTAACTGCTCTAACTAAAACATAATTGTGCTGAGAAGACATTGTGCCATGAAAGTCTCTTAATTTAACAAAAAACATGTAAATGAAAAAAGTGATAATCTATGAGAAATGATTAGAGCATTGCTTGCCACGTGTGTAATAAGTATTCATCAGTGCAAGCTATTATGATTACTGTGTTTATTACATTCTCAGAGCCTTTTATACAGATAGGCAGACTGATTGGAAGTACTCAGTAAATACTGAAGGAACAAATACGTGGGCTATCCTTAATCGTTAGTGCTCTTCTGAATAGCATATGCCTGTTGTTCACTCAGCTAAATTCCTACACCATGACAAAGCTTATGGCCTTTGCAGATGGAAGTTCTTGTTTCTCATTGTTTGGAACTAAACAAAGCAAAGATGTATGCATTTGGGTTTTTTCATTATAAAGGCTTCATTTTTCTCTCTTATTTCCATGCAGTGGCCAGCTTGGCAAAGCCTGGTACTTTTGCTGGCAATGATGCAATTGTAGCCTTTGCAAGAAATCATCAGTTGAATGTGGTGATTCATCAACTTAATGCCCCTTTGTGGCAGGTAGGTCACCTATTCAAAAATTACCTATAAACTAGCATTGGGGATATCCTAAAATAATGGGGCTTGACCTGTGACATTGAACTCCACAGAACAATGTGGACCATTAACCCAACCAAAGACAGAAACAGATAGAAGTCTGCGGTGACTTGGAACTAATTCCTGGGCTAGGCACAAACGGAGTTTGGAGTATAACTTGGAAGTCTTTTAAAATGCTACCAATGTTATTCAGCAGTCAGCTGATTGGGGTATTTGGGAACAAAAGAACCTAGTGTGGAAATAGTTCAGGTAATTCCATAGAAATATCTAAGTGAGAATTTGAAGAATTAGTGCATACAAATTCTAGTTTTGAAGTAGACTTATTCCATGCTTTTTAGGCATAGGGAAGCAGATTAAATTCATTATAATGACCATTGCTAAAAAGTATGTTCTGAACAAAATTTATTTCAAGATCTAGGATATCAGGCTTTATTTTTATATTTTGCTTAGCTAAACATAATGGTTTCAGTGGTTCTTCTATAGCAAAAAAAAAAAAAATTGTGCAATAGATGTAAAGCTTATTCTGTAGGATGGCAGACACATTGATAACCACTTAACTTTTTCTACCTCCCCCGCCCAACCCAGTCTGAAAGTATCTGTCCTTTCAAGTCTTTTCTCATTTCTTTGTTTTTGGTGTCCTAAATTAACCTCATCTCCTAAACAAGCCATCAAAGCAGATGTGCTGGAGTAGGGCTGTCTACAGCTCCCACTGTTTCTTCCTGCATTCAAAGGGGGCTTGCTACTTTGCAGCTCAGCTCCTTAAGACTGGCCTTGTTCCTGTTCCCCTGTGCTCCACCACTTCCCCATTTCTCAGTTTTTCCTTTAATTAGAACCTTAAAATTACTTAATTGTAGAAAAAAAGGGAAATTCAGAAAAGCCTTAAAAGGCAAGAAAAAAATCACAAGTCCCATTACTTACAGATTATTGCTGTTCCCATTTCAGTGTGTGTCCCTGTCATTCACCCTGCACACTTAGCTCCATACTTGAAATCCTATCAGTGTTTTCACAGCACACTTTAGACATGTCTGTGCATGTACAGTCTGTATGTGCACAAGTTTACATTTTTATCGTAAAGTAACAGTGCCCTTTTTTTCATATGTAACCTACATATTCTTTGTAAGTTGCTTAGTCATGGCCTGTGCTCATTAAAACAAAAAAAAGGTCAGGTTTATAGTTATACATTATATATAGCAAAATTCACCCCCTCCCTTTTGTCCTAGGGATTGGAATTTAGGGCCTCACCCTTGTTAGGCTAGCATCCACCACTTGAGCCATGCCCCCAGCCCTTTTTTGCTTTAGTTATTTTTCATATAGGATCTCACACTTTTTTTTATTTTTGTAATACTAGGGCTTGAACTCAGGGCCTACACCTTTATCCACTCTACCAGCCCTTTTTTGTGATGGGTTTTTTGAAGTATTTGCCTGAGTCTTGGTTCACATTGTGATCTTTGCTGTGTAGCTAGGATTTTGGCATGAATCACTGGCACCCAGCTGGATCTCACACTTTTTAAATACTTACTTTTTTTTTCCTTTTGGTGGGACTGGGGTTTGACATCAGGACTTTGAACTTGCTAAGCAGGCACTCTACTGCCTGAGTCATACTTTCAGCTATGAGCTCACACTTTTTGCCTAATCTTGCTTGGGACCACGATCCTCCTACTTATGCTTCTCATGGAACTGGGATTACAGATTTGCCTGACCTTGCCTGGCTTATTATTTGAGATAGGGTTTCACTAAATTTTTTTTTTTTTTGCCCCAGTGGCCTTAAACTATGATCCTTCTATCTTTGCCTCCCAGATAGCTGGAATTCCAGGCATGAGCCACTGTGCCCGGCCTAAATTTACCCTTTTCAGGTGTACAGTTCTGTATTTTCACAAACACAGTCATGTGACACCACCATTAACATACAGGTAGTTCACTTACCATAAGAGTCTTGATGTCTTTTGCAGTCACTAGTCCCCTTCCCCACCCCTCTGGAAACCACTATCTGCTTTGTCTCCTATAGTTTGGATTTTTCCAGTGTAATGTATAAGTGGGAATATTCGGCCTTTTGTTTCTGGCACAACATCCTTTTAACAAAATTATGCTGCAGCAAAATGAATTAGATACTCCTGGGCTGGTGAGGAACTAACCTTTCAGGAAAGTGAGGACTGGAGTGAAACAGCACCTCTGTTCTTTGTGGCAGTGTTAGCAGATGTCCAGCACCAGGTAGAGCTCTTGTGTTCATTGAGGTGCTGTCTTTCTAAGGATGGTCTGTGAGCCAGGAGTACTGCTTACCCCTTTGTTCCAGTTTTTGTCATTAAACTTAACAGCAGAGGTCATGAAAGTCAAAATGAGCAGAATCTTGAAGGAAAATACCCAGTGCTGGCTCAGGAACCACAGCCTTGCCTACTTTTTCCTGCACTGGTAACTAACTTTCTTAATTGCCTAAGGTAGATGTGGAAGGTGATTCTGTGTAGTTAGATTGCTTTTCAGATTTCTTTCTGCAGTGTTCTTGTTCACAAATTGCTAAACAATGAAAGTACGTATTTTTAAATGAATTAATTTTATTTCTGTTGGGTCTCCCACATGTTCCTCCCTGTGAAGCTGCTTATAAAATTCTTAAGAATTGAGAGTGCACTGGTTGTACTGTCATGGGTAAGAGTTCTTGCATTAATGATGAGTAGGCTCACACTCACAACATGGAGATACTGAGACCTACATTTTTGTCCTGTTAAGAAATGGAATATGTGCTCCTGTGAGCAGTCTAGACACGTGTAACACAGCAAGTGAAAGTCCTCTGTGATCAGCCCATGAAAAGCACAGTTAACAATTTTGGCTGTTCCTTTCTATTTCTAATGTGTACTTATTGTTATTAAATATGGAAGTGCTTTAAGGATTACATCATTCAGAGGATCCAGTAAACTTCGCCAGTATCCTGGAGATGGGAAACAGCTTCTGCCATTTTGTATGTGACTCCACCAGACTCTGCACTTTGGGACCTGTGCGTTCTACTAGAGAAAACTTGCACAGTTCCGATGCCTGGATATGTGTTGTCAAAACAAAAAACTGTACCCCTGAAAAAGGTGGATTTTGCTGTATGTGAGTTATATGTCTATAAACTTTTTTTGAGCACAGGCCATGACTAAACAGTTTCCAAAGGAGTATATAGTAGGTTCCTGTTTCGTGGCTTCTGCTGCGTTTTGGACTGTAGATATTCTTTAAGTTAATGGTAGCATCATTACTACCCTCGACCTTGAGTAGTTTTGGAGTTTTCAGAGAGAGAGTTATTGGGTTTTCTCAGGTATAAAATTAGAATTATTTTAGTGTGTCTTGGAAGTGGACATTTTGGGGGGCTCTGCCCAGACCAGACCTTACAGCTTCTGTATTGCATGACTTTAGGGAGCCCTGTTCTTGTTCTTTTGTACCCCAGAGGTGTTATCCACGTGGAGTACTTTATGAGTGGTGCTTGCAGGGTTATGCAGTGTGGTGGCATTATTTTACTGTACATAATTTTGCTTTGAAATTGATGTAAATGGAAGGTTTTGAGTTGCTAATGATACATCTCACTCTGTGGCTAATGGGAGAAATGCTCTTTTTATTTTAAGGATAGATAGATTTATATGTGTCAGGCCCTCCATTTATAGAGCTCCCCTTCAAGTCTTGGGAGAGGTCCTAGCAATTTTATATTAGTAATTTTACATTCTTCTTCCCAGAGACAGCCCCAAAATTGTTTTTTAAGCTCAGTAAATCTGTATCTATCTTGAGCCTTCCCCATTAGAAGGGGTCTGTGTATTTGAAGGCCTAAGGTAGTAAAGCTGCTGAAACTTAAGCTCATTTAACTCCATGATACAGCTCCCCTGTTTTTTGGGTGCATTTTCATATTTATTTCCATCTTGTTACATACTAAGTAAACACACGGAAGCAAATGGGGGTGGGAGGAAAATAAGTCCCGTATTGACAATGACATATCCTAGCCGTATTCCCAATTAGTGTCTACATAGAGCCTGCTGATGGCTTCCTGGCCCAGCCAACATCCCAGGAGCTGACATCATCCACATCCCCTCTGCCATCTCCCTTTCTTCTGTTGGCAGATTCGGGGTACAGACAAAAGCAGTGTGAGGGAGTTACACATTGCCTATCGGTATGGAGAGCACTATGACAGTGTCCGGAGGATCAATGACAACTCAGAAGCACCTGCTCATCTCCAGACTGATGTAAGTGAGCTGTTCTTCTCCTGCCCCGCTGCCCCGCCCCCCCCTCCACCCCCCTGGTTTCTATGTTCTCAGTCCTACGTACAGCATCTCCAGAGCTGTATGTCTTTGTGTGCACGTGTGTGTTTTAAGTAGACGCTGGCTTTGGGATCTGTGAGTTTGATTTTTAAAATAAATACTTCTTTTTTGTTCAGGTAAGAGAGAGAAAATTGCTTGTTATCCTTTTGCTGTCCTTATCAGCTGATAGCTATGATTATATGCATTTAAAATCTGTGAAGTTTAAAAATTACTGTGTTTTAAAATTGATTCATGCCTAATACCTGTAATTTGGGAAACCAGAGAAAAGAGAAAACAAAGAAGCACACAAAATCAGCTCCTCAATGAGATTTCGATACTGTTTTGGCAGATTCCCTTAGTCCTTTAATTGTATTACAAGTGGTTGAGATTAGACCACTTACAGTTTTGTTTACTCCTTTTTTTAGATTACCATTTTCTCATTTTTTTTTTGCCTACTTTCTGAAGCCATCAATTTTAAACAACTTTATTTCTTGAGTAAGTTATATTTCTCTATATAATTTTTAATGTGTGGACTGGCAGAGTGGCTCAAGTGCTAGAGCGCCCGTCTAGCAAGTGTGAGGCCCTGAGTTCAAACCCCAGTACTGCCCAAAAAAAGAATTCAAAATGGGTAACAGGATGCATAGTGAAAGTCACTCCCACCCTTGTACTTTAGCCACACTGTTCCCTTTCCAGTATGTTATAAAGTCTAGAGATATTTATAGATCAAATATGTGCATATGTGCATGTATTCCACTTTTGCTGTTTTTTACCCTTTCCCCTCCCCCAGTTGTAGCATCCATCCTAGGCTGTGCTTTTTAAATTTAATATGTCTTGGAGGTTAAGTCATAGCAATACACAAAGAACTTCCTTTGTGTTTTGCAAAGGCTGCATGGTATTCTGTTGTGTGGATGTGCTATAACATTTGGCCAGTCCCTTATTGATGGACTTTTTTTTTTTGCAGTACTGGGGTTTGAACTCAGGGCCTACACCTTGAGCTACTCCATCAACCCTTTTTTGTGATGGGCTTTTTTAGATAGGGTCTTGGAAACTATTTGCCTGGGCTGGCTTTGAACTGTGATCCTCCTGATCTCTGCCTCCTGAGTAGCTAGGATTACAGGTGTGAGCCATTGACCTTGATGGACTTTTAGATGCTTTCAAACTTTTGTTATTACAACCAATGTGTAGTACCTTATATATACCTCAAATTTCACAAATCTGTGAGTGTGTCCTTCAGGATAAATTCATAGAAGGTCCATTCTGCATCAAAGGATTTCGATAGATATTGTCAAATTACTTTGCAATATGTGGGTCTTTGTCTACACCTTTGTCAACAAATTTCCTCTCTCTCCTTTCTCCTCCCCTCCCCTTTCCTTTGTTGTTCTTCCCTTAACATTCTCTCCCCTTGGTGCTAGGGATTGAACCCAGAGCTTCACATATGCTGGTCAGGCACTATACCACTGTGCCATATCCCCAGCAACCTTGTCAGTATTTTCTCACATGCCTTTGGGATTTAGGGTCATAATTTGTGAGGTCTTTCCCACTCTGAGGTTAAATAGAATTCTTCTGTAGTTTATTCTAGTACTCTTATAAGTTTATTTTTGCTTTTAAATTAAATGTTGGCTTCATTTGAAATTTATATTTATATAAGGATTCGAGGTTATGGATCCAGCTTTGTTTTCCTTATGGTGATTTAATTGTACCCAAACCATTTATTTTATTTTTGGCAGTACTGGGGTTTGAACTCAGGGCCTCATGCTTGCTAGGCAGGTGCTCTACCACTTGAGCCACCTTGCCAGCCCTGTTTTTTTGTGATGGGTTTTTTGACATAGGGTCTTGGGAACTATTTGCCCAGTCCAGCTTCGAACCATGATCCTCCTGATCTCTGCCTCTCAAGTAACCAGGATAGCAGGTGTGAGCCAGCGGCGCCCATTCCAAAACCATTTATTTATTAACCTATTTTCTCCACTGATTTAAGATCCCATATTTTCCTAATATACTAAATTCCCGTATGTATTTGAGTCTAAACATTTGGTTCTTTTCCATTGATTGCCCTTTTTATGTGTTAATGCCCCATTGTTTTAATTAGTAAGAGATTGTTTTAAAATCTGGTACAAGTTTTCACACATCATTAATTTTATTTTTATGATTTCTTATGTATTCTTGCTTTTAAAAAATATTATAATTAGTATGTCCTGTTGAGGTTTTTTTTTATTTTTTAATTGGAATCTTAGTTTATAGATTAAAGGAAAAATTGACATCTTTATTATGTTGTCTTTCTAGCCAAGGACCTGGTAGTTGACTTTTGTGTGTGTGTGAAATCTGTAGGACTGTTTCTTTAAATAATTCTTGCCCATTTTTTGTTGATTTTATTCTTAGGTGTTTTGTTCCTATTGTAAGGAACAGATCTTTTTTCTCTTCCTGTTTCCTAGCTTGCTATCATTTGTATATGAGAGTTATTAACAAAGTACTAATTATATACCCAGGTGCCCTATAGAATTCTTTATTAAAAATTGAAATAAAGGACTGCAGAATGGCTCATGTGGTAGAGCATTTGCTTAGCAAGCATGGGGCCTGAGTTTAAATTCCAGTACCACCAAAAAAAAAAAAAAAAAGAAAAAAAAAAGCTTAATAACATAAACCAAATCATTGTAAGACATAGAACTGGTGCACTTGGTACACCTAGTGTTGGGCGGCCAGTTCCTCTGTTTAGTTCCCAAACATTTTCATCACCCTAAAAGAAAACTCCTCACCAACAAAGCATTCATTCTCTGACCATCTTACTCCATACCACCAATCTGTCTTCATGGATTTACTGATGGTGGACATTTAATATAAATGGAATCTTGCAATATGTGACCTTTCCTGTCTGGCTTCTTTGACTTAACATAGTGCTTTTGAGATTCATTCATGTTTTAGCACGTATCAGTACTTTTTGTTTAATGGCTAAATAATATTCCGTTGTGTGGCTCTGTCACATTTGGTTTATGCATTTGTTCCTTGATGAAGGGCAGTTGGGCTGTTCTCACCTTCTGGGTATTGAGAATAATGCTGGAGTATTGGGCATGGATTTGTTAGAGTACCTGTTTCCAAACTTTGGGAACTCTACTTTCTACATGTTCCCCTCTTACTATTTTTTCTTTCTTCTTTTTTTTGAATGCCCATCCTGGTATCTGGTGGTTTTGATTTGTATTTTTCTAATGATAAATAATGTTGAACTTTTTGGCCATTTGTATATCTTTGGAGAAATGTCTATTTAAGTCCTTTGCCTTTTTTTTTTTGGTGGTACTGGTTTGAACTCAGGGCCTTGTATAGGCAGGCTCTCTACCACTTGAGTCATTCTGCCGGTCCCTTTGCCTATTTTTTAATTGGATTGTCTTTCTAAGTACAGAATTATCTTGTTTGTAAATAGTGGTCTCTTCTTCCTAATTTTATATTTATGATTTCTTGAGGTAAGAGGTAAGAGGCATTGGCTCTTACCTCTAAAATGTTAACTAATGATGGTGGTAGTTAAAATCCTTATTGTGTTCCATACTCTAATGGGAATGAAAGCATCATTCTATGGATTTGTGGTGGTTACTAACCACATCCATAGTATGAAACCTTTAGCTTATTTCCAGTTACTCTCCATTGTGAGTAAGATTATTATGAGCACTTTTACATAAATCCTTTCTATATTTAACATTATTTCCTTTGGCTAAATTCCAAAGCATTGAGACTGCTGGGGCAAAGACTCTTGATACTGCCAAGTTGTTATGATGTAATAGGTTGTTTTCTATCAACAGGAAAATAAGGTGTTTTTGGACTCCTCTTAGTACTTTTACATGCAAAAAATAGAAACATCTTTGCCCATTAATCCATCTCCCTGCATTAAGAAGGAGAAAGTGGTTGAGTAGTCACAGACAGATGATTTTAGCCTTTCTGATTTAGGCTTTAGTTATAAAGACCTCTTGTACCTTCTTGCTTTAGAATTTGGATTGACAGCTCTTGAATATGTCAGTATGCACCTGAGAGGAGATGAGTCATACTATGCTGTGTACCCTAGAGCTCACTGATGACCAAATGGGGCCTGGAAGCAGATGAGAGTTATGTGTATTTCTTCAAGACCAGCATTGATCTTCTGCAGAAGCTTAGCAGGTGCAAGTGTAGAGGACCTGCTTCTGTTCTTCAGCTTACAGATCTAAAAATGATTTGAGACATAGTGTGTTCAGCAGTCATTACCAAAATGTTGGTGTCTATAAACCGTAGGAGCTCTGATGCTATTCTTGCTGAGTGGTTCATCTTATCTCTTGGGCCTTTCTTTTATTCTTCTGTTGTGCCTGGAATCTCTGTGTATGGATGAAATTCAGCCTATTCATTTCTGTCCTCTTCACATTGTTTCTAGAATCTTTTCCCCTGTATGTTTGAATGTTTTAGAGACTAGAGTGTCTTAACTGTGTTGAAGATTTAAATGGGGATTGCTAGAGCGCCATAGTTATTACACTTTATGTTTCCTTTAGTTTCAGATGCTTTATCAAGGTGAATCAAATAAAAGAGAAAAGATCAAGACCAAAGGAGTTGACTTTGAAGACAACCTGGGGGATGGAGTAGAGGACGCAGTCCAGAAAGTTTGCAGTGCAACTGGATGTTCAGTCAGTATTCTTTCCCCTTGTAGTGCTTGGTAAACAAGTACCATGCCCAGCTACCTGCTAGTCATGTAGCATCACTCCCACCTACCAACACCACAGGTTCATCAGATTGGTGTTCCATTAGGTTATGTGTTATGGCTTAATGAGAGCTGGCTATTTATTTCTCTCTTGTTCATTAGACTTTACCCAATACTGCTCAAAATCCTAAAGAATGAATTTAATTTTTTTCTGACTAGTCTTTGCACTAGCAAAAGTGCAGTTTTATGAAGGGAATTCATGTATAAATACATTTTAAATGGTCATTTCAAGTGACCAACCTTACTTGAAATAAACATTTTCCGAGTGAGAAAGGTCTTGAATGCTCGTGTCATTTCTCACTGTGATATCTTTGTGTTTAACTTGAGAGGCTGAGGCAGAAGAATTTTAAGTTCAAGGACTTCATTGGTCATATAGTGAGTTCTAGGCCATTCTGGGCCACAAAGTCAGACCCTGTCTCAAAACAAAAACAAACAAAAAACCCAACATCTTCATGTTTATTAGATTGAAGTAGAACTAGTAGAAAGAAAAGCATATCCACAGTCTTGAAGTGTTTTTTTGTTTCTTGGGTAGGATTTTAATTTAATAGTCCAGAAGCTGGAAGCTGAAAATTACAATATTGAATCTGCCATAATTGCCATGCTTCAGATGGACCAGGGGAAAAGAAACAGTAAGTCCATGGCTGCTACTTATAAGCCTTCAAAATGATGATGTTGGTGATTTCCCAACATGATTGTGTAACTTTTATATTGTATTATTGTTAATTTTAGTAATTGAATCAAGTCATAGGTAGTAATTTTATTGTGATTTGTTCATTTATTTGGCAGTTGTTTATTGAGTGCCTTCTGTATGCTGGCATTTTTTTACTAGATCCTGGCCCTGTATCAGGAAGAGTATAGTTTGGGAGTAGAGAGGGGACAGTGGAGACAGATGGGTAAACTGGTCTAATAGCACACATAATGGGCTGGGGGTCCAGGTGCTGGGAGAATGCCAGGGAAGCCATCTAACCCAGTCTTGGAAGGTTGAGAGTGACAGGGAAGAACGTCCTTCTAGAAATAAGATCTCCTTCTAAAACTCAAACGATAATTTCTGGTGGAAATATTTAGAATTTTAGCACCTATCAACTGGTGGTGAATCAGATTTTTTTTTTTGTGAACTGAGTTTAATTTTGTGAGTCAGAGGAAGGAAGAAAGATGACTTGAGTCATTTACTTAAAATGATATCAATAAGTGCTTATTGTTAGATATTATATGCTGATTACTTACTGTTCTGGCATTATAATTCTCTGTGTGATTGAGTATTTTAGTATCTATTTGATGTATTTGCTGGGCTTCTGTGAAACTCCAGTGACTTGGTCTTTATGATGTTGAACAGTACTGTCCAGGATTTGTGCTGCTCAGCATGGTGGGGACTTGACATGTGGTGAATAATCTTAAAAGCAGTGTTTTAAGTGGTATTTACTTTTAGTTAATTTAACTTTTAGTAGCTACACGTGGCTAGAGGCTGCTGTATTGGACAGCACAGCTTTCGATCCTGGTTTTTTTTTTTCTCTTGGTTTTGGGTACAAATGAAAGATACTCTCCTAAAACTTCATTTTTAAAAGTAGTTTAAGAAAACAAAGCACTTTGCTGTGGGAAGCTGACCATAAGCCTTTTGACCTGGTCAGGAGGTTTTTTTTAAAGCTTATCCTACAAACTTTACTAATTGCTTTGTCCGCATGTTTCTTGCTTCATTGACTTGATATTAGAATTTGTCTCAAGGGAACTTGCTTCTTCACTGACAGTGTTCTGAAGATCCAGGTGATTCTGGAGTCATTTAGTAGCAATTGCATTACATTATTTTGGTAGGTTCTGGTGCTAATAAGATACCTTTCTTTGGAAGATGCAGAGGAGAACGTTGAGTCCAGTGGCCAAGTGCTGAAGCAGAGTGGCCCTTTATGGGAGGAGGGTGGCAGTGGAGCCAAAGTCTTTGGAAATCAGAGCTTAAATGAAGTGGGGACTGGAAACAGTAAGGTGCAACCCAGCCCAAGTGAAGAAAACAAAGCAAATAAAAGCCAACTCCCAAAGGTATGAAGGAGGGGACCAGAGGGCAAGTTGCCACCTGCTGTGGCAGTGGTGGGAACTTGAATTTCATGTTAGTGTGGATTTTCCTTTTGATTTATAAAGTAGTTATTGTGGAAAATCGGGGTGGGTGGTGTACATAAAACTGTATCAAGAAACAGTGAAGATCTCACTTGTACTGCAGTAACAAGTAAGAGGAGTTACGCTGAAATCATCTTCTGCAAACATGTAGCCTCCTTTTCTCACCTAATGTCATCCTGTGGAGAGAGTCTCCCATGTTAGTCCTCATTTTCCAAAACCATCTGATGTGCAGTGAACAGCTGTGTGTGCAGGTTTTTGGTGGCACTGGGGATTGAACCTAGGCCTCACGTATGCTAGCCAAACACTGACCCACTGAGCTACACCCAGCCCTGTGTTTCCCATTATTTTATATAGCGTCTCAGGAGAGGAGAAACAGGTTAAATAAACAGCATGGGAGGAGGGCTGCAGTGTTGCCAGAATCTTTGGATATCTGAAGAGCTTTCCAGAAAGGTATCTCTCTGTCCCTGTGCCCTGCTACCATAAGTAGATGTGACATCATTCATTTTGCTGCATTTGGAGTTCATTTTAAATACTTACCAAGAAGTTCTGAGTTAAAAATGTCATCCAACATGAAAAGCCACAGGCAGTGACAAAGATGCCCTAAGCTAATTCTGAGGGCTTTGTTACAATGACCATGGGCTTAAATTATGGAGAAAGATGTCTCTTGGCCCCTTTGAGTGCTGCTTCTTTCTGGACAAGGATAACCGTCTCTTTAGGTTGTTTTGAATTGGTTTATGAGGAGATTGGAAGCTAACCTTATCTCAACTAGCAAAAACCCTTGTTCCTTCCTATTACTGCTTATACTCTCTCTTCAACAAAATTAGAGATAAGGGCAAAATAGTTTCTGCCGGGTATTGAGGGGGTGGGGGGGAAAGGGAGGAGGTGGAGTGGATGGTAAGGGAGGGGGCGGGGGCAGGGGGGAGAAATGACCCAAGCGTTGTATGCACATATGAATAATAAAACAATAAAAAAAATGAGGAGGATGGAATTGATTTTGTTTGCTAGTTCAGCAAGGGGGTATACATTTCAAAGTAAATTTGAGCAGTGATGGAGAGTAAATAGTTTTTGGTCTCTTGGGCTGTTTTTCTCTATTCTTATTGAAAAGCAGTCTGTGCCTTGTGCCTCTGAGCCCAGTGTCTCTTTGCAGTGGGCGGGCAGAAGGCTGACTCAACCACAGCGGTCATCTCTTTCAGGTCACAAACAAGCAGCGGAGGGAGCAGCAGCGGATGGAGAAGAAGAAACGACAGGAGGAGAGGCACCGCCACAAAGCCCTAGAGGGCAGGAGTAGCCACAGGGACAATAACAGAAACGAAGCAGATGTGAACACGCAGGTCACCTTGGTGAAGACCTTTGCTGCTCTCAACATCTGACTCTGGCCTCCTGGGAGCTGTAAGAAGTGGATGGAAAATGAGTGCTATATATGAGCCAGGCTTCCAGTGATGGAATGAGACACAACCCACAAGACCCACACATGCACTTACACACTGAGTTAGTTTCTTTAAGCTGCGTCTTTCTGTTCAAAGTTTTGTCAGTGCTGTGTTTTGTTTTATGAAAGTGCAGTGAAGCCTCTCATATTCCCTAATACAGACTTAAAAACTGAGTTTTAGGGGTGGATCATTAGGTCAGGAAAAGCCTTTTGAATGTGACTTTGTTTTCCCTGAAAATTGGAGTTCAGTGACTCTGGGGTCTTCCCTTAACACTAGGGTGAGTTGCTGTAATTGTTCATGAAGTAGTTTAGAGTAATTGTTAGAAATTTAGAGAGACAAATTTCCTTAGTTTCTTTTCATTTTCAAGCAAATGTTAATGTATAGAGTAGTTTATAAATAATCTAACTCAGGAACATGTTTAGGTTTAATTTTTTTCTTATTCAAGTTACTCAGAAAATAATTCAGGAAGTGATTTCCCAAAGTAATGTGATACAAAGGGTGACCTGCAACTGTCAGGGTGGAAGTTAAACAGCTATGTCTTCTTCCTTCCTGTTTTGATGCCATTTCAGATGGTGCAGGTGCTGTGGGCTCATCCCTGTTCAAGCCATGTGACAGGCACCTGGCTCTTGGTGAGCTGGGCTTGCTGGGAAGTCTACAGTGGTGTTTAGTGTGGATATTTGCTTCTTGAGAGTTAGGAAGGGAGAAGTCAGGGGACCTCCTGTTTTTGTCTACGAAGAGTCTAAAGAATGATTTGCTTTTATAGGAGGAGAAGTCTGGAAGAATATCTAAAGTTCTTCATGTTCACACTTTAAGTAATTATGTTTTCTTCCCTGCTATCATAGACTTAGATGTCTTCAGAGAAATACATGGTAATTTAACCTTATAGGTTGCTAAGTTTTTAGTATCGTAGAAATGAAATTCCATAGAATACATCTTTTATTTAAGTCCCGTTTGCAATTTCAGCATTGGGAAAACTGCATTGCCTCCAGAGATGGTCAGTCAGCAGGGAAGAGGGCCAGGGGATGTTGGTGATCATAGCTCCAAAACACTCAAGCAGTGGGCAGATGCTGTTCCCCAAACTGAAGTAGGCAGCATTAAAACTGCCATGTGTGAGATGGCCAGTCTTGGATATCATATTTACCTTTCAGAAACCTGCTGTTTGGGCAATTAATATGTGCTGGGTCAAAGGTACATTATTTGTTGTCTCCCTGCCCCTCAAATTTCAAAATTATAAGAACTTGCCCAGAGGCAAAGGGCAAGTTATAAGAAAGTTTTGACATGTATAAACATGCCATTGTCTGGGCGGTCCCTGATTCATTCACTTGTCTTTATCAGCAACCTGCTTACTCTCTTCAGTTTTAATGATGGCTTCTAATTTTTTGTTCCACTTTGGAACTTTTGTGTTTGGAGCACAGAAGTCTCTTGGAATTGTTCCCAGGACATTATGCTTTGGGCTTCTTGGGTACAGTACATTGTATTATTTCACACATTTAGAAATTGCACATTTTTTCTGTGCATTTTGCAGAGTTATAGACTCTGGTCATCAGTCCAAACAAGGGAAGACTCTCTCAGGGAGCAGGATCTGGTGTTTTAGGATAGATTATTCAGTTGGTTTTACCTCTCGACAGGTTCCTGGCTGGTTGAGCTTTTCTGAATGAAAATTCTATATTTGCTTCGTACTGCTTGAGTGCAGAAGGGCAGATTCTTTCAGAAAGGTCAAGATTGTTTACCAGAAACTCAGAAGTCAGAAATGGTTTATGAGAGAACCACTCGGCAGAAGTAAAATTGCTTTATTTACTTAGTTAATGAAGGTGGCCTTGGGCCCTGTTGGGTTTTAGAAGTTTTGAAACTGCTAAAAATAAAGAATATTGGGAACATTTATATATAAATTACCTAATTCCGATAGGTTTCTGCATTTCTGGGATACAATAACTGATTTAAAAACTAATGAAGTGGCTTTAGTAATTTTCTGTTATTACCCTCGCATAGCTTTCCAGCTATGATTGGTCTGTATTTCATGTGTTGATTATTAGAAACGGGTACCTGCATCCACCTTCAGCGGTATCCTATAGCTGCGGGTCTGAATTTAGACTTCAGTGTGCCTTGGTCTCACTGAAGTGGGAGGTGGCCTGACTGAATCCATAGGCTGAGTGTGTTAGTGTGCACTTGACAGGTGCTTCATGGGCAGCCAGAGTGCAGGCCCGGTATGTTTAGTCTTGGGGTAATGATTCAGCAACTGTTGTGTGGACTCTGTACAGGCACTGAGTGTCAACCTGCAAGCTTCGTCTCAGCTGATAAAAGATTCTACTATATGAGATTGTCCTTGATAGCTTGTGGTGAGGCCAGGAAAGGGGATGGAGCAGTGGTTCATAGCTGCTTATAGCCCTATAGACTGAAATAATGTTTTTTAAAGGTCAGAATATGAAAAACAACTTTAGTGGCAATAGCTTTGAGCTAGAGAGGTAGATGTATTCAAACAGCATAGAACCACAACTTCTAAATAATGTGGTTGCCTCCAGGATATATTAGAAGAATAAATATGTATAGCTAATTTTTCAATAATAGGAACGTCACACTTTAAGGGGAAATTCTGGTTAAGGAACTGTAGCAGAAAGAACCACCTTAACTGTTGGTCAGTGTTGTCTGTGGTTTCTTTACAAACTCTAAAAACACTTTCAGCCTGTTTCGATTGTGAGGGCTGTGAAGTGGGGTCTCCCTTGTGGGGTAGCCAGAGCTGGGCTTAGTGGGACCTTATGTAGCTCTGTGTGATGCCTGTCCTGTTTCCCTAGGGAACTGTACAGTGTGAAATACGGTGGGGAGAGGGTCATGCATAGTCAGGGAGATGGTTGCTTACATGTTACGTGGTTGTGTCACATGGACTTGGGCAGTGGACTATACTCATAGAGAGTCCCTATAGTCAACGTGTAATTTCTCACACTCGAGAAACTCTCGTATCTGTCTGGATTTATTGGGTCAACATAGAATGCCCTCAGTTTACCTCTGAAATGTTCAACTTAAATAGCCTGTTGGTTAGAGGAAAATTGGATTCCTGGTCAGAGTGGGCTAAAGTCTCCCTGAGCAGAGGAAGGGGATGGAGCTTCCTAGTGAAGTTGTCACCTCTGTGGCTCTCCTAGCCCCTTGTTGGTAGATGCTAGCTCTCCACCCCTCACCTCAAGCCTCTATCTGTGTCACACCTTTAGACTTGGGACCTGATGCAGGGTTTATCTTTTACCATTCTCGTTAGTCCCAGCTTTCTTTATCTCTGCTGCATATCAGGTGTTGCTGAAGCTCTGGGTCTTCTCTTGGTGATTCTGAGCCGGTTCATATGGCCCTTTTTACAAGATGTGCATCCCTGATGCACAGCAGACCATGCTTTCCCACTGTCATTGACTTGAAGATCTAGATGTATATTTAAGATATAACAAGTCTTCCATTACATATCAGAGGGGAAAATTGAGCATTTCTGGCAAGTAGACATAATACTAAGTGTATTAGAAGTACACAATGCAAGGATGAGTACAGTGTGTAACTCTCTGCCTCTGAGACCAGGCAAGGAAAGAGCTGTGCCTTGTAGACGGAATGGACCTCTTTTGTCCCAAGTAAAATTCCCTTTCAAAATCTCAGGCCCTTAACGATTTCTTCCAATGGTTCTTTCTAGGTAGTCTCTCTATTTAACAATCCCCATTAGGACTACTTAGTAACTTCAAATGTTGAATATCCTCAAATTGTTACTTGGGGAGGGGCTGGAACCAGTGCAAAGAATAATTTCCATAAAAGCACTTACTTTTGCACAGTGAGTTTATTTTAAGCAGTATACCCATAATTCAGAGCTGCTTTTTCTCACTGTGCTAGTTATCACAGAAGGTCCTGATCACTGGAGGAAAGCTCTGAAGTCTGGCATCCAGCAGGTCCCTGTTGATAGTCACACATGACAATCATTCAGGTTCAGTCACAGACCTTTGCCTGTGGTTGATTCCCTGGCAGGTCCCTCAACTGAAATTTGAGCCATGCTGGTGTGAGGTCTCTCACACATCTTCCCACCCTTGGGAATCATTTTCTGTGGTGGCTGCCCTCCCTGCATCCTTCACTAGCACTAAGCTCAGAAGAGAGCCAGGAGTTAGACTTAGCACCTTTGTGCTCCTCTTCCTGGTGTTGAAGTGCTGGTGTGTGTCAGTCCCCTTAGGAAGGGAGGGCAAATGTGTCTTTCGGGAAGGGGCCTTCTCTTTTTACTAATTGCACTACACTTGTTCTAGCTTCTGTCTGAAGATATTTAAGACCTCCATGGGGTCATGATCCATAGACTTAGCAAGTCTGCCTTATCTGTGGAATGTGGTGGTATGAAATGTGACCATTGTCTGATGTCTGGAGTTCATTTCCTCTATGCTTTTTCTTTCTTCACAGATTATGTTCATCTGGACCATTGTACTTTTTATTTACCAAAGTACTGTACTTGGCTATTTGCAGTGTTTTTAAAACCAAATGTTTCTTTATGTGTTTTTAACCTTCAATACTTGGTGCAATAGAAGCTGCAAAGATGTGCCACTTTATCTAGGAAAAGGAGTTTTGTATACAGTAAACCCTAGTTTAAAAACAGTTTCAAGTTAGTTTGTTGCTATTTGGTGCTGGAGATGGAACCCAGGCCCTCACACATGCTAGGCAAGTGCTCCACCACTAAGCTACACACTCTGCTCATGTTTTTTTATCAGTATTTGACCACCAATCAAGCAAACAGAGGACTGGGAAGTATGCTGGAGATGGCTTTCTCAGAGGACTTTGTGTGGGAGCGGTGTATGTGGGTTGGGGTGAGTGTTCTAGTTGGGTGGTCTTTTGGGATCTGGCTGATGCAGCATTGGTGCAGGTGAGTACTGCCACTTCACAGACTGGCAGAGCCATTATCAAGACCTGAACACTTAAGATTTCTGCCCAGTACCTCAAAACATCTCTGATAATCTTTATTTGTATAAATATGACCAGCTGGTCTGTCATTTGCACCTTGGTACTCCTCTAGAACTCTGAAAGTTGGCTTATACTCCATTCAGGAGGACACTCATGCCCCAGACTCTGGACAGACTCACCTAGAAGAGCTCAACACAGGGAAAGGGATAATGGTGACCACAGGAAACCAGAGGAAGGAGAGCTGGTGCATTCAGCAGGGACCCAATCTGCATGTGGGACTGGCAGTTGGGACTGGCTCACCAGACCTCACCCATCCTTATGATTTTAGCCTTGACTCCTACTCTCTCGTTCCTAATTTTCTACTAGGCAAGCAGCTTTCTGAATTAGCTCCTGGGTTCCTTGATAGCAAAAGAATGAAAGAGAATATTCCAGGTACTGGCAGGGGAAATCTCCATGATCATTCTTAGTCTCTAACTCAGAGTCCAGTCGTCTCTCTGTGTAGACAGGAGGCACTAACTTATTTCTGGGCAGGAGAGGCCAGATTCCAGACCATGGTAACTTTTTCAGGTTTTAGCAGAAGAATCCTGATGTCAGTTTAGGTGCTGTCTTCTGCAAAACTTAAATGGCTTCCTCAATTTCATGTCAGGGATTCAGCTGAGCTAGGCATCCTTACCTGGGGTGAGGGAGGCTTCTTGCCTAGGCAGCAGTTGGAGTGGGTAACCTGCAAGGACTCTGTCTTTAAGGGCAGAGAAGCGTTCTCAGGGCAGGTAGGAACAAGTGGCTATGCTTGTGTCCTCTGGGAACTGCTCATGATTGCCTCAGAGAAAGCCTGCTCAAAAACCAGGAGTTGAGAGTTACCCATTGGCCAGGCACCACCACAGGGACAACTGTTCCCTGTACATCTCTCCCTTCCCTTCTCCTCAATGCACATAAACAATACACATGGCTTATCCAATATAATTCACAAAATGCCCTGCTCCAATCATATTTTGACTGGGTGGTTGGACAGAATGGGCACTCAGACCATAGGGATGCAGAGGTTTAGAACTTTTTGTTTGAAAAAGACTAGTCCTGCCACTTCATAGATCCTGGATTGACAGAAGGAAATATTTTCCACCTTGGAAAAACTCTGACATTCCATATGGTAGAGAGACTTGGCCATTCCATTTTTTATTCAGTTTATTCACCCACCCAAACATCTAAGAATCCATCTCACATTTACTGAGCCTTTCCTGTGTATGCCTTTTACTTGGTAAGGGGAAGGGAGGATCAAAACAGACATGGATCCTAGCTTCTAGTTGGGGGATAAAAGTGGATATATAAGTATGACCCAAGAGAACATGCCCTAAAGGAAGATTCTGGATTCACAGATGTGAATTCACAGAAATCAAGGAAGACTTGTTGAAGGAGGTGACATTGGAACTAGGCATGACAGGAGAGC